GGCTTAGTGAGAGGAGACAGAGGATGGTAGAAGGCTGAAGGTGCAATATTCATCAATGATGTAGATGAGAATGTGGAAGGATGATAAGTAAGTTTGAATGACACAAAGACTAGACAGGTTTTGATAGAGAGGAGGAAGGTGTTAGGTTACAGGAGAATATAAACAAACAGGTCAGATGGGCACATCAATGGCTGATGGAATTTAGCCCTGATAAAAGTGAGGTCATGCACTTTGGAAAAAGGAATATGACAAATATGAATGGATGGCAGGACACCAGGAAGCTCAGAGGAACAGAGGGATTTTGGGTTACTTTCCACAAATCCCTGAGAGTAGTAGGACAAGTTAATAGGGTACTTAAGAAGGTGTTTGTGATGCTGGCTGTTATCAGTCATGATGTGGAGGTGTTGGACTGGGGCAGACGAGGCCAGAAAGGTTTGGAGGGATATGAGCCCGTAGCAGGCAGGTGGGAATAGTTCAGTTTAGGATTATGTTCTGCATGGACAGCTTGGACCAAAAGCTCGGTTTCTGTCCTGTATAACCCTATGACTCTATGCCACTAGGTTATAGTCCAACAGGTTTATTAGAAATCACAAGCTTTCGGAGCGCTGCTCCTTCACTTCACTTCATCTGACGAGGAGCAGCGCTCTGAAAGCTAGAGATTTCAAATAAACCTTTTGGACTATAACCTAGTTTTGTGTGACTTCTGACCTTTATCAGTCATCGTATAGATTATGAGGTCAGTTTGGAGCTGTTTGGTTGGCCACAGCTGGAGTGCGATGTGCAGTTTTGGTCACCACATGACAGGAAGGATGTGACTGCACTGGAGGGGATGCAGAGGAAATTCACTGGGTTGATGCCCGGGCTGGAGCATTTCAGCTAGGATGAGAGGCTGAGTAAGTTCGGATCGTTTTCTTTGGAGCGGACAAGGTTGAGGGGGGGTACCTGATAGAGGTATATAAGATTATGAAGGATATGGACACGGTGAATAAAAAGCAACTGTTCTCCTTAGTTGAAAGGTCAATAACAAGACGTCTTAATTTTAAAATTAAAGGCAGGAGCTTCATAGAATTTTTGAGGAAATTATTTTTCACCCAGAGGGTTTAATGGGGCTGAAATGCATTGCCTGGGAGGATGGTTGAGGTGGAAACCTCACAACCTTGAAAACGTACTTGGAGGAGCACTTGAAGTGTCATAACATTCAAGACTATTGCTGGAAAGTGGGACACCTGTAACTAGTACTACATTTTTGGTGGTACAGACATGATGGGCTGAAGGGCCTCCTCTGTACTGTCTGATCTACAATTATAGAGTCACAAAGTCATACAGCATGGAAATAGATTCTTTGGTCCAACTCGTTTGCGCCAACCAGACATCCCAATCTAACCTAGTCCCATTTGCCAACATTTGATCTGTATCCCTCAAAACCCTGTCTTCTAAATATTGTAATTGTACCCGCTTCCAACACCTCCTCTGGCAGCTCGTTCCATACATGCACCACGCTCTGCGTGAAAAAGCTGCTCCTCAGGTCTTTTTTAAATCTTTCCCCTCTCACCTTAAAACTATACTCTCTAGTTTTGAGTTCCCCTACTCTGTGAAGAAGACCTATCCATACCCATCATGATTTTATAAACCTTGATAAGGTCAACCGTCAGCCTCCAACACTCCAATGAATAAAGCCCCATCTCATAGAAACAGGACCAGTCAGGATAAATGCAGAAAGGTTTTTCCCAATGATCAGAGATTCCAGAACCAGGTGGTCATAGGATATGGATAGGCCACATAGAATTTTCTTTAGTAATAATCCTGTGGAATTCTCTGTCATAGAATGTGGTTGAGGTCAAAGTATTGACTGTTTTCAAGAAAAAATACAGATCTTTGGCCGAAAAGGATCAACAGGTAGGAGAAAGTGGGAATGGGATACTAAGTTGGATAATCAGCCATGATTGTTCTAAGTGTTGGACTAGACTCAAAAGGTCCAACGGCCTACCTCTGCTCCTAATTTCAATGTTTCAATGATAATTGAACCTAATCAAAGCAACTAGAGTTCACCAATAATATTGGTTCCCAAATTGGATGGGTCAACTAGACCCAACTAACTAGATTATAGAGAAATGAACGCAGTCATAATGACAAATTTGTGCCCAGTTCCATGGTTGAAAGACTGCATTGATAGGAATCACAGTACATTATTCCTTTCTAAGAATGATCTATTGAAGGAGTAATGGTACTGACATCAAGGACTAAGGACTTCTGTTATAGTAAATAGGTACCAATTTGGGTCAAAGAATGCCCCAGCTACATTTCAGAGGTTTATGAATAAAGTAGTAGTTGTTTTTTGTAATGGTTTAGTTTATTTATTTGATGTTATAACATATAGTAGCACATGGGAAAAGCATTTAAGACAAGTAGAAAACCTGTTTAAGCAATTACAGTTGTCTGGCTGAGTAATAAATTTAGCCAAAACTGAATTTCGAAAACAAGACTAACTTAACTGGGATATATTGTAGGAAAAGAACAAGTGCTACCAAAGACAGTGAAAGTGTAAGTTCTAATAGAAATCATAATAAATCAAATTAAATCCAATCAAATCCCTGTTCCTAAACGTAAGTGAACCATCAAAGACATGTACCATTCCATTCCCCGCCTCATTTTGGTACATCAGACCATAAGGCTGTGTTCCTTCTACCAGCTTATAAGCAGAAATTACAGCATGGAAATCTGGTACAGAAAGTAATATCATGCTGATCTGAGGTAATGGATGAGCTCCTGTGTGACTGCTTGGAGCCGGTGGACTGGTCCATATTCAAGAACTCAGCGGCCAACCTAAATGAGAATTCCACTACCGTCACAGACTTCATTAGTAAGTGTGGAGAGGATTGCATGCCAAAGAAGTTAATCCAAGTGCTCACCAACTGGAAACCACAGATGAACCAGGAGATCCACTTTCTATTCATGTTCAGGTCTGAGGTGTTCAAGTCGGGTGACCATACAGGAAATCTAGGTACAATCTTCACAAAGCCATCAGGGACGTCAAGAGACAATTCCAATCTAAACTAGAGTCCCAGACTAACCACACAAATACACATTGATTATGGCAAGGCTTAGATGATAAAATGGGCTACAAAGCAAGTAGAATCGCTGACAACAATGCATCCCTCCCAGATAAGCTCAAATCACTCTATGCTCATTTTGAATAGAAGATCAGTGAAATGATGTCACCTGCCCTGACAACCTCGGGTGCACCTGTATCCACAGTCACCACCCACACTGATGGCAGATCAGCCTTCTTGAGAGGGAACCCACAGAAAGCAACTAGCCTGGATGGATTCCAAAGCATTCAGACCCCGTGCAAATCAGCTGACAGGAATATTCACATCTTTAACATCTCCTTACTCAATGTGAGGTTCCTACCTGCTTCAAGAAGACCACTAGCATCCCAGTGCCAAAGAAAAATCAGACAACATGCCTTAATGACTACCACCCAGTGGCTTTGACATCCATTATAATGAAGTGCTTTGAGAGGTTAGTAATGGCACACACCAACTTCAGCCTTCCCGATTGCCTTGATCCACTACAATTCACCTCCTGTTGCAATAGATCCATGGCAGACACCATCTCCCGGGACCTATACTCATCCCTGGAACATCTGAATAACAAGGACACCTATGTCAGACTCTTATTTATTGACTTTAGCTCCATTTTCAACACCGTAATTCCAACCAAATTCATCTCCAAACTCCAAGACCTAGGACTGTGCTCCCCCTCTGCAACTGAATCCTTGACTACCTGACCTGCAGACCACAATCAGTAAGGATAGGTGCCAGCACCTCCTCCACGATAGTCCTCAACACCGGTTTCCCAAAGGCTGCATACTCAGCCCCTTACTATAATACATGCACGATTATGTGAAATTCAGTCCTAACTCCACTTACAAATTTACTGATGACATCTTTCAAATAATGACGGGTGGCTCTCAAACAACGATGAAACAGAGTACAGGAAAGAGACAGAGATCTTAGTGGTATGGTGTAATGATAACAATCTCTCCCTCATTGTCAGCAAAATGAAGAAGCTGGTCATCGACTCCAGGAAGTAGAGTGGAGGACATGCCCTAGTCTGTATCAACGGTGATGAGGCAGAGATGATCAAGAGCTTCAAATTCCCAGGAGTAAACATCACCAACAATCTGTCCTGGTCCTTCCATGTTGACTCTATGGTCAAGAAAGCACAGCAATGGCTCCATGTCTTCAGAAGACTAAAGAAATTTGGCATTTCCACAATGACTCTTACCAATTTTTACAGATGCAGCATAGAAAGAATCCTATTCAAATGCATCACAGCTTGGTATAACAACTGCTCACTGCAAGAAATTACAAGAATTTTGAACACAGACCAGTTCATCAGGAAAACCAGCCTTTCTTCCATTGACTCCACCTATACTTCCTGCTGCCTTGGGAAAGCAGCCAACATATTCAAAGACCCCTCCTACCCCGGTTATACTCTCCTCCACTCTATTCCATCTGGCAGAAGATACAAAAGTTTGAAAACACATACCAATAGATTCAAGAACAGCTTCTTCCCAGCTGTTAACAGACTTATGAATGGACCTCTCATATATTAGAATTGATCTTTAGCTGCACCCTCACTGTAGCCGTAACACTACATTCTGCATTCTGTTTTCTTACCCTGATGTACTAACGGAAGGTATGATTTGTCTGGATGGCACGCAAAACAATACTTGTCACTATCTCGGCACATCTGTATATAATAGATAAAATCAAATCAAAATGGGAAGTCTATTTAAACATTCTGCAGTGTTCCTATTTATTTAATCATCTGCTCAATGCTTGACCCTTTTTAACACCATTTATCATGTCACTTTAACAACCTGTTCCACACGCCACGATTTCCTTTGACACTTTACTGTCGCCGCCTTTTAATTCGTTACGTCTTCCCTGCGCCTTTATCGGCTATGCCCCGCCCCTTTAAGAGACGGCCAATTGCCATAGTGACGCCGCCATCATGCTCAGTAAGAAGTTGGTTTTGTCGCGGGCTCGGGCTCCAGATTTGGATACAGTCCGGAGACTGAACCTCTGGTCAGTGGTCAGTGGTCAGTGGTCAGTGGTCAGTGGTCAGGGGTGAGGGAATGAGAATGAGAATGAGAATGAGAATACGAATACGACGACACGACAAGACCAGACCAGACCCTGCCACGCCTATTGCTAACGTCGGTAACTAGAATGATCACTGGCGATAGCCAGTGTGACCTTGGTCTGTAACGTTAACAATCCTGCAGTAACTTATGTAGCCCGTGAATAACTATCATAAATCCAGGGGAAGTTGTGTGATCTGAGTACAACTAGGGTTTAACTGTTAATGTCAGCCAAGAGCTGGTGTAATCTTGGCTAGTACCCTGCCTAACTCGTCAATAATTAAAGTAGCTTGCTGCTAACTATTATCCTGTACTGCAGTTAGTCATATGGTCATAACTAGCATTAGGACCTGCTAGTAAACTGCAGTCTAATTATTAGACTCAGTAACAGAGCCTGCTTGACTAATCCAAATGGAATTTTCTGATTGAAGTAACAGGGTTTGTGAAGGAAATGTGAAGAAAGTGGTCTTGTGTGAATTTGGAGAGGACCTCTGTCAAATGATGGATTCTTTAACAAAATGGTGAAAGCTCAATCAGCTTTGATAAAATATTGATTTAAAGACCAATCCAGTGAGTCTTGCTGAAAGGGTATTTATCACACTGCAGAATGGGAGACTGTGCAAGTGGCAGACTTTATTCTTATTCAAGCAATAACTGGTTAATGTAGGGAGAGGGCCAAAGATCTTTCCCAAATCTGGCTTCAATGTGAGAACCCAGTCGTTCTTTTAATCTACAACTCAGATTGGAAGAGAGATCAATGACACACACTGGTTTTTACAGTGAAATGCAACATTTTTGTACATTGTGTTACAGTAATCACATACAGTGTGGTCACTGTGTCCTTGCCCCTTATTCCATACACCCAATCCTGTGAAACACCTAATCAATGATGGGCTTTCCTGTGGATAGCCCCAGGTTCCCATGATTTCATGGTGTAACAGGCATTGTAATTGCCAGACCTTGGGATCTTTCTATGCATCCTATTAATTCCCATGCCAAAGTTAGTGATTATACTCCTTCGGGTCTGTTCCCAGACTTGCTTATCTCCATGGACTGCTTGAATTCTGTCACTCATTTGTATTCCATGTGCTATCCCTATCAAAATCTGTATTCCTCATATATTTTCTACTGTCCCAAATAAAAGATGTTGGTTTTAACTAACAGCTATAAGATTTGTAGTATTAATTTCCCAGAATAGTTAGTTGTACTTCTTTAACTAATAAATTGCAAACAATCTATTTCATTCAGGACGAGCTAGGTATCCTTTTAGATATAAGGAAAGCGTTTCCTGAGGCAGATTAACTTTCACATCTATGTTTAAATGTTTTTCCATAATGCTTCTATTATATTTTGGTTGTATATGTGTATCTATATTATGTTGAAATCTATCTCTACGATTATCTGAAGAATCTTTAACTAGAACCTATTTCTTAATATTGTGCATAACTTCAAAGAAACAACTGATTGCTACAAAATAACTTCAGCTGATTGTTTTCATAGCTGTTTAATGTGTTAGGCTGACTGGTTCATGGAGTGAGATTTACACCCCTTGTTTTAACTGGCGCTGTTCACCTAATGGGGCAACATCTTTTCATTAATGGGGCTGGAATCATTTCTCATATTTAATGAACTTGTGTCTATCCTTAGATACCCTCTTATCAAACTGTCTTGTAGGGCCTCCTGTTTGCCTTGGAGTAGCCCTGTTCAAAGGTACCATTATGTTTCACTTAAATGCTGGAGTAGGCTGTTTTAATTCTGTTTATCCCTTGTTGGCCATTTTGTGTCTTTCAACATGGGCAGCCCTTACGCTTGCCATTAAAGATTAAAGCTATCTGATTAGTTGCTTCTGCTATTTCTTTTCTTCCAACCTTCAATGGTCCACTAGGGTCACATCCCCCGACCTGGCCATGATTTAGCAACATGCTGTACTTCGTCTAGTCTTTCTCACACTTTCTCTGAGCCATCTCGGAATCATTCACTGTTTACGACACAGAGGGAGGTCATTCAGCCTGTCATGTCCACACCAATTCTCTTGGAGCTTTTACCAATATCACATTCTTGCTTTCTCCCTATCACCCTGCACATTGTTTCTTTTCTGTTGATGATCCAAATTTCTGTTGAAAGCTTAAATCGAAACTATGCCCCCAGGCAGTGCATGAAAATGTTTCTCCTCTGTCGCCATTGAGCTTCTGATAAATTACTTTAAATCTGTGCTCTCTAGTTCCATCAATGGGAATAGTTTCTCCTGATCCACTCTGTCCAGGCTCCTCATGCTTACAAACACATCAATCAAATGACAATGACGGGCCAGGTGGTTGACAGTGAGGAAGAAGGGCTGAGGTTGCAGGAGGATGTAAATGGATTGGTCAGATGGGAAAATCCAGTGGCAGAAAGAATTTAACCCTGATAAGTGTGAGGTGATGCACTTTGGAAAAAGGGACAGTTAGTGAATGGCTGGATACTAGAAGCTCAGGGACAGAGGGATCTTGGGGTGTTTGTCCACAGATCCCTGAAGGTGGCAGAGCAGGTTAATAGGGTAGTTAAGAAGGCATATGGGACACTTGCCTCTGTCAGTTGAGACAAAGATTATAAGAACAGGCAGATTAATCTGGAGATATACAATTAATCTATCTCTACTGTGTACAGATCTGCTCTCCACACTATCTGAAGATGTGATTGCATTAGAGGGGGTGCAGAGGAGATTCACCAGGATTTTGCCTGGAATGGAGCACTTCAATTATGAAGAGAGGCTGAATAAGAGGCTTGGATGAAAAGTCA